CAAGTATGGGCTGGAGAGAATGATGTGCTAGGTGCGACCAGAGGGCTCGGCTGGCACTCTACGCTAAGAAAGGCAAGACGGACATACAACCAGACTATGACTGGCACCATTAGTACTGGAACTCTGCGCTGGCTGCTGAGTGTAGGGATGGAGCACTCATGGGTATGCCCCGAGTAATGTGATGTAAATTTTTAATTCAACTTAATTCTTCTTCTTCTTCTTCTTTTTCTTCTTCTTCTTCTTCTTTTTCTTCTTCTTCTTCTTCTTCTTCTTCTTCTTCTTCTTCTTCTTCTTCTTCTTCTTCTTCTTCTTCTTCTTCTTTCTTCTTCTTCTTCCAACCTTAATCTCTCAGTGGAGCGTAAGGTCACAACCAACTCAAGCAGCGGAATCTTTCTTGCTATAACATGCAGCTTACCTCATGTACTCCCCATCCTTATAACGTAATTTTCTAGCTCCCTCCTCTGTGTGTTTTTTGGTATGCTTTTATTCCTATGTCCCTGTGAATTCCAGCGCAAAGGCATTCTAGCTGTTATATGGTTCTCATATTTTCTCAGTGTGTATCCTATCTAACCCTTCTTAACCGCTTGACTCATCGGAATTTGTTTAGCTCTCTTTCAAAATTCACTGTTAGAAGTTGTTATATCATGCCATTAAATTCCCTATTTTCTTCTACTTAGAGAGGAAACGAGCGGAGAATAAGCATCCACTAAGATGGGAAAGAAAGGGATTAGGACGGCGAAGACGCCCACTAGAAACTCTAAATCGAACGTTGACGAGGCATGTTAAAGGCGCTGGAGAAAATTCCATGCATGATAATGAATTGACTGCAAAGGACAGAACGGAACAGAGAAAATGACTGCAAGTCCAAACATAACCCATTACACGTTAGTGGGCATATCCAGATAGAGAAAGTCATCCACCATGCGCTGCCTCAGAATAACCAATATAAATGCGAAAAACCTACCTCTTAGTTTAGGCACATCGAGTTGTGTATAAACAAGTGTCTTGTGGCTTTGGTCTTGATTACAAGTCACCTGACTATAGAGGTCGTGACAGTACCTAATGCAATAGCTTAGCAGGAGACAGAGACCTTCTCTTTTGAATGCTTTCTAGGTGACTCAGTGAGTATTTTTAGAAAGACCTACATGGACTGGGCTCGAAGACAGTTGTTGGAACCACGAGGTCTTTACAGCGGACAAAGACATGCAGGTTGAAGAGAAAATTGACGTCTTTTGTTTTTTCTTTTAACCATTCGACGACTGTGAACTCGCTCGTAGTCCTGGTTTTTCCTCCATGTGCGAAACGTAGGCTTGGCGCAGTATTTCCGTGTTGCATGTACATCCGTTTTACATATCTGCCTTATTTATGCGCAATCTTCATTGTCTCTCAGATAGAAGTTTTACGACTTAGAGGTCAACTTCGATCCTACCTACCTTAGCGGGGTCTCTGTGTGAAAAATGTTTATAAGACGACCACTGAAATGTGCAGATGGGTAATAACCGGTTTGAATGCTAGATCTCCTACATCATCGCTACCCCTTGTACTGAAATACCCCGGCATCCCAGGAAAACGATCCGCTGATAGGCTATATATATTTTTGTCGCCTTTCATTTTTTATTTTAGCTATTTATTTCCTTTTTTTCCCCTTCTTTCTATATATCCCTCTTTTCCCCATACTTTCTGTTTTACTTGCTTTTTTTCCCTTTCTTTGTGTCTGTTCTTTTATCATCTTTCATTTCTTATTTTTTTCATCCAGTCTTTCTTTCCTCTCTCCCTTCTTTCTTTCTCTCAGTATTTTTCATTCTAACTACCTTTCTGTCTTTCTGTCTTCATTCTTTCTTTTATTGTGTCTGTCCTTTTCTTCCTTTTTTTCTTATATTTATGTCTTTCTTTCTTTCTTTCTTTCTTTCTTTCTTTCTTTCTTTCTTTCTTTCTTTCTTTCTTTCTTTCTTTCTTTCTTTCCTTCTTTCTTTCTTTCTTTCTTTCTTTCTTTCTTTCTTTCTTTCTTTCTTTCTTTCTTTCTGTTTGTCTGCCTGTATTTCTGTATTTCCCAATTTCCTTTAAATTATATGGTACAAAGAATTACATAATAAAGCATCGATTATGTATACACATACAACTGGAAGTGTATTTATGACTGTTACATGTATCCGTACATTATGTTGCTAAGTTTTACTATGTAACTCCAGACTTGGCGGGAGCCTACGTGGTGTAGCGGCTAGACGTTCGCATGCGGATCGGAAGGTCACGGATTCGGGTCCTAATCTTAATTTAGCCAGACTTTTTTCAATAGTGACCTTGGCTCTCTGGTTGACATAGCCTTGAGTGGGTACCAGGTACAGTCCTGGGAAGTAAAGGCCACAGGCATAATGGTGACCATATCACCCACCAAGTACCGATTGGCCTATAAAATATAGATCAATCTTTTGTCCTCTACTGAACCCTGTACTAATGTTTTTGAGAAGCCGTAAATCTTATTACATTTTCGTGATGCAGCAATTTATGACTTCTCACTGTAGTTTTTTTTTTTTAACGTATCCAGAAACCATGAGTTGTAAACCCTTTGGCTCGGTACTATGGATATCGCAACCCTTCGGCATTGATTCCATTATAGGTACCGTTAATCTGGGAGAAATGTGGCTTTTCTGCCTACCCCCGGGAGTGAACCCGGACCACAAAGAGTTCGTCACCCGGCCGCCGCGAAAGTCAGGTTTAACCAACTTCGCTAGAGAGCCGGGCCTCACTGTAGTTAAAAGAAGTTCATAGTTTGCCCATGTGCTAGGTAACTATACACCGAACCTCGCCATTTGTGATGCCGTCTCCATAGGACGTACCAAGATTTTTTTTCTACACTAGCTGTATTCGGCCACACGTTGCTGTGGCATGGTTTAGCTAATGGAAAAGAAAGAAAATAGAAATCGAACGTGTCTAATATGGTTAATGTCGCAATCATTGTCTGCGCAAAAATGTAGATAGTTTTTGATTCCGCCCCCCCCCCTTCCGCTGCTTCTTTGAGTGGGTTAGGCAGTTACTGTGACCTAAATCTATCACAGGTAACAGTTTATGTTCACACCACCCCCCCCCCCCCCCCAGTTCACCAACTACTCTTTCCCTCATCGAAGTAGTTTCCAAAAAAACCCAAGTGAAAAGCAACAAAACAGGAAAAATACACCCTAATTACGAAATGAACGCTATGGTAAATAACGCAGCTTCATTCCAATTCAATGTGAGACAAAATAATTAAATTAAAATTAAAATTAACAGAATTCTATGAAAATTCAACGTAATCATGCATTCGGAAACACTGAAATGAAATCGTAGAACACGAAATGGTCAAATTTAATTACTAACTGGTTTACCCACATACCTGCACTTATTTTATTATTTATGGCCGTATAGATAGTTCTGTCGCCACAACTGTGCATGTGAGGATTTTATTTTGCCCCCGGGTAAAAAAAAATCAAATATCGTACTCGAGATTGCAACCCTGCTCTCCCGAACGGAAGCCTAGTGCTATAACCGTTCTGTCAACCAACCGCTCATCCGTAAAGTGCGACAAAAAGAGTAGATACTATTTGAGATAAGTAATTCTAACACAGCTCAAAACTGCAGGCAATTGTTTTCTCATAGACAGATATCCCAGATATAAACTTCAAGTATTATTAAAACGGCACAACAATAGAAATCGCACGTGTCTAACCGGTTTATGACATCAATCATTGTATTCGCAGACATGGAGATAGTCTTCGATGCGCCCCTCCCCCCCCCCCTCAAATCCACTGACTACTCTCTAACTCATCGAAGGTTGTTTGAAAAGAAAGAAAATAGAAATTGTGTCTAACATAGTTAATGTCGCAATCATTGCCTGGGCAGATAGAGAGATAGTCTGGTTTGCTGTACCACCCCGGCGAATGGTGAAAGTCGTGCATTCCGACTACTGCGCATGCGCATTTACGAACGTGGCTTCAATTAAATGTCACTAAAATGAAAATATTAGTTTCAAAAATTTCCAAACAAATGTCGCTACCTGTTTCAAAACCATAACAGGTAGGATCCCGGTATCAAAACAAATATATCCTGAAAATTTCAGCTAAATCGGTTTAGTAGTTTCCGAGTCTATAGGTCACAAACAAACACATAAACACTGATTTGTATAGATATAGATCATCTTATTTTCAGTGCTCGTATCTTCTTTTCGAGTTCAGCGGTTTTACAGCCACATGAAAACGTACTAATTCCTAGCGCTTTGAGAAACTGTAGAATAGGTTTACGAGAAATGTTTTGGAGTCTCAACATTATTTTCTGTTTGACAAGGACTGATGTTGTCTGAGTAATCCTAGACATTATTTCTGATCTGGACCCTAGATCACTTAAAATGAATCCTAAATATTTGAAATGATTTACTTGCTTTAGTTTGTGACATTTAACGTATCTTGGTGTAATAAGGCAGTGGATTTATTTATTAGTCATTAGTCATTGTTCTCTGCGTTTATTTGAATTCCATAGTTGGTCGATGTTTTAGCAAGCAGGTTTGCGAGTTCCACTAGGTCTTGTTCCTGCTTGACCAACCCGTCGGTGTCGTCTGCAAACCTTCAGTTTGCTATGATTCGTCCTTCTATACTAACAGTTCCATAACGTTTCCCTAGGGTATCTGTCAGAATTGTTTCAAAGAAGATATTGAACAATTATGAGAGGAGGAAGCAGCCCTGTCGGACTCCTACTGTTGCTCAGAATCAGGTCCATATTTGTCCTTTCAGCATTACAGCAATACTAACTTTGGAATAAAGCTGTTCTATACTACGAATGAGGACTGTCGTTGAGTTAATCAGAGAACGTATTGTAAGTTGCAAAGTACAGAAATTAATTAATTCCGTGTTGCTAAAATTCCACCCAAAAATCACATCAATTAAATGTCAGCAATTAATTATATTTTGAGAGAGAAACACTAACCTAACACTTTGCATTTATGTTACAGGTAAAAGAAATACAACACAGAGACCATGAGTCTACGTGCGTTAAAAAAGCTGTTAACAGGTAACGTTATCAAGGCTGTCCTGTTCATCAACCTGGTCTGTTTCCTATCGTTGACCCTACAAGGCCTGTTAACATGGCAGTCTTTGCCTTCCCACAGCTACACAAAGAGCACAGACAATTCTGTATTCTTGTACCTCAACCGCATAATGACATTTAGTACAGTCACACCAGGGAACTTTACAATGAACTATTTGGCGCTCAAGAAGATTGAGCAGATGAAAAAGGAATTGAATGATTCGGTGCTAGTCAACGATACAATGTTTCCAGCTAAAAGAATTGGTAAATACCTTCTGTTAGACCCGGACCTTTGCAAATCCGTTGATAGGGTTGATATCATAATAATTGTGCATACGGCACCACAAAATCTGGACAAAAGACAACGAATCAGAGACAGTTTTGCCAAAGCCTCACTCTTTCGTCCATTCGACATTCGTGTTGCATTTCTATTGGGCAAAACGCCAAACAAAACGCTGGAACGAGTCTTATGGATGGAGCATGCCAGATACAACGATACGGTCATGGGAGACTTCAACGACGATTACCACAATCTCTCCCTAAAAGGCGTCATGGGATTCCGATGGGTCAGCGAGTATTGTCCGAATTCAGAATTCGTGTTAAAAATAGACGATGATATTTTAGTGAATATGTTCAAACTTCTGTATTCATTTCTAAACCACATGTCAGGGAAAAAGAAGTCAATATTTTGTAATCTATGGCATAGCGGAAGTATGCCTATTCTTAGAAAGGGAAAGTGGAAAGTGGCATCTCATGTGTTTTCGTCACGAACAACATTCCCGTACGACTATTGCAGTGGGTTCCTGGTTCTAATGACCACTGATTTGATGAAGCCGATGTACGAGGCATCACTGACGACCCCTTTCTTTTGGATTGACGATGTTTACTTATTTGGTATGCTTCCATCGGTTGTTGGTGACGTCACTTATTACAACTACGGCCTGGATCGAAATCTGACCCTAGATGACAAGAAAGCCATAAACTGCACACGGGAGCTAGGACCCCGATGTCCTATCTTTGCCACGTTTATTCGCGAAAGAAACTTTTGGCCCTACTGGGACACTATCAGGGGGCTATACTCATCCAGTATCTGGCAACTGGAGCAGAAGATTATTCACTGATCTTGTTTTTGAAGAGTTGCTGGGAATAATCTAAACGACGTTTTATCCACACACTGTTCTTATCTCCAATAATCCAATCAAATGGGGACAAGACAGTAGCATACAATTTCTGGATATTACGATTTAATTATCTGTGTCTAAATTTTTTTTTTTTCATTTGAAGGACATGTGTGAGAGGGAGTGTCTTAATATTGTAAAGTCAGCACTAACTTTAACGTATAAAGCTCTTTACCCTTCCAGTTTAGAACGGACCTAGCTCTTGTTATTTTAAGTGTATACAACATTGCTGCTGTACCGTTTGTAATAAGTCAAGAAACATATTTTTCAGGTAATTTGAGATAGTGGCACATTATGAATGTTATGAGCAAATTTTGAGGCAGAAATACACGTAACACCTTTGCCAGTCCACGGACGTGATATAATATTGATTGTGCATACTTTTAAGTGATGTAGCTTCACATGTGATTCGTTTTGGATATACTAACCATATCAATCTTTTTGGGAGAAGCCTCTGGTTAAGTGGGAATTTGGTTTTACATAATTAAATAACCTTTCACAGCAATTAATTAGCATCTTTACCTATTATTAACTAACAGTCTAATTATATGTTGTAGAGGTATATTAAATAATCTTTCACAGCAATTAATTAGCATCTTTACCTATTATTAACTAACAGTCTAATTATATGTTGTAGAGTTATATTAAATAACCTTTCACAGCAATTAATTAGCTTCTTTACCTATTATTAACTAACAGTCTAATTATATGTTGTAGAGGTAGGAATAAACTCACAGGGAGCAAGTACAGCAGGGTTCTACCAGTCATCAGTAGAAGATATCCTCTTCGACAAGTGTTTCGGCCCACGATTCTCCTATTCACTTTCGGAGGTGGGCCCACCTGAGTTCATGAAGCTCAGGACTGGTACCCTGCTGCACGAAATTACCGGATGGTGTTTTTCTTTCGTATAGGAACAAGACGACTTGGTGGTTTGCAGAAGGTACTGTGAGATAAGAAGTCGTCGCGGCAGCCTAATTAAAGCAGTCAGCATGCCTGGACGACCGAGCGACAAGCTTACGATTGGTTTACCTGACACATGTTGGACTTTTATTAGCAGGTGACAGAGGATAACTGGCAGACAATTCGGACACGATGGACTTTCAAGGGGTGAGAAACCCTTTTCCACTAGACACCCGGACCAGCTCACCGAGGCCCGTCCCCTACGTTGTTCCGTTGCGTCCAAAGCCAACTCGAGGCCCTTTCGGCTGCCTCGCCCAGTTTTTTAAGTGTTCGTTTCCGTTCATTACCGCGTAATCCTAGTTCTTTAACCACATTGTAGAGCGAAGTGGAAACGAGGCCTCTCGCTCCCACTTCGACGGCAAAGACCTGTACTGTGTACGATTCGTTTCTCCTCAGACCGGCTGCTAAATTTGTACATTAAATAACCTTTCACAACAATTAATTAGCCTCTTTACCTATTATTAACTAACAGTCTAATTATATGTTGTAGAGATATATTAAATAACCGTTCACAGCAATTAATTAGCCTCTTTAACTATTATTAACTAACAGTCTAATTATATGTTGTAGAGGTATATTAAATAACTTTTCACAACAATTAATTAGCATCTTTACCTATTATTAACTAACAGTCTAATTATATGTTGTAGAGGTATATTAAATAACCTTTCACAGGAATTAATTAGCCTCTTTACCTATTATTAACTAACAGTCTAATTATATGTTGTAGAGGTATATTAAATAACGTTTCACAGGAATTAATTAGCCTCTTTACCTATTATTAACTAACAGTCTAATTATATGTTGTAGAGGTATATTAAATAACCTTTCCCAGCAATTAATTAGCCTCTTTACCTATTATTAACTAACAGTCTAATTATATGTTGTAGAGGTATATTAAATAACCTTTCCCAGCAATTAATTAGCCTCTTTACCTATTATTAACTAACAGTCTAATTATATGTTGTAGAGGTATATTAAATAACCTTTCACCGCAATTAATTAGCCTCTTTACCTATTATTAACTAACAGTCTAATTATATGTTGTAGAGGTATACTAATATTAATCCTCAACTATTTGTATTCAGTTTAGTACATCTTCTTCTTCTTCTTGTTCACCGTCTGCAAACGCTGGCAGAATTGTCTGGTTGTTCATCCACTTGTGAAGTTTAGTCTTATTCCAGATACTGGTTGTTGCATGTACATCTTTTATACAGAACTGAATTATTTGTATGCAGACTGCTGGTTCCTTGCCTCTCAGGCAAATGCATTCTGACTTCGAAAGAAGGCACAGTGCGTCAACTCTTAGGACATGCTCGTTGGCGAGGCAGCGAGTCTTTTCGGGTTTTCCCCACACAGTGGGCCCCCGGTATCCACAAGAAGAAATTTTGTGTATGATATGTGTATGTTGCACAGCATTTCAGCTGTATGATCAGTTCTAACGTGTTTCACATACCTTTAAAATGAAATATCATTCGTGACAATATGCTGTAAATTATTTAAACTCTCTTAAGATTTATTATCATTTCAAATGCTCACTTCTGTACCTGTGATGTCATGTTTAATCCCTCCCTGTAGCTGTCTAGAGCTGCCTACTTCTATAATATTTTCAGTTGGCATATGCTTATTGCTGTGTATCTTATATTCATTGGGGGGGGGGGGGGGAAGAGGGGGTCTTTGGAGTTTTCTTGCTGTATAGTAAATTATTTTCAATATCATACATCTGACATACAGAACTTGTTTTCTCAGATGATGTGAAAAAAGCTACTCCAAGTTGCAGTCTTAGTATTTTATTATTGCAGGGTTATTTTAGTTCACTTGTTATTTTTCAAATGACTGTACGTTGTTTTGTGTTGAAGGTCCAAAGACATTATTAGCTTATATTGATGGATTAATCCTTAACATTTAGTATTTAGTAAAATCAGTAGAAAATGTAAATGCATTTCATGTAAGACTTTGCTACAGATGAACACAGCATTGATTGTTGATGTTGATCATGAAGAAGCTACTTTTACGCATTGTTAGTTGCGTTTTTAAGGAATATGTCTAATGTATTTTTAAACTGAAAAATTCACATGGAAAATGAACTAATTTTATCCAACAAGATGAATAAAGATAAATAGTTAGTAGTGTTATAATACTGTTACGAAAATGGCTCTGGATGAAAAATGATTACACGTCTCAGTCATCTGGACTGTGCTTGAAAACAAAAAAATTCTGAATTTACAAACTTTTTAAAGCAAGTCACTTGCTTGTTTGTTAATTATTAAGTAACTGCATAATTCTATGTTGTAGTAGTCTCCTAACAGCAATATTATTTCTCAATTTTTAATATTCATTTTATGTATGATATGTGTATGTTGCACAGCAGTTGCAGAATGATTGTTAAAGTAAAAATGTCACCCCCTCCCTACTGCCGTTGTCTTTTGATGCAATACCCTCTCAGAATCAAAGAGATTGATTCGAGACTGATTTTTACTTTACTTTTGCTGAAATAACTTTCAGTTTATTGCTGCATGGTGTTGATATTTGTGTTCATAGTGACTCTAGAAACTGCACGTATGTTTGTTTGCAAAAACCATTATTGTTTTATTTTTAATTGCAAACGTGTTTATCTTCAAAATTATGTATAATTCAATAAATTTTGTTGAAAATTAATTAACTGTAGCTTAATTTTTGTATAAATCTACTCACTTAAAAATAGTGAAAACACACCGGCCTCTTGGACTTTCACAAAAATGGGACTTTCCGTTGTCTTGGTTAACGTTTTTAGTGATGGAGCCGATGGTGAGTTAGTGTTAGTTAGGTTTCATTTCACACGAACGAACGAAAGTAACACACACTAAAAGTGATGACTTAATAAACGCTGACATCAACCCACACATTCACATAGAAAGAACATTAGTCTGCCGACCAAGTGCACACACTGTTTTGCACATTGGGCTAAAGTAAATCTTTCCTAATAGAACAGATCACTTTTCATTCACAAATTTGTTGGGCTGGTCGACTTTTCTGAAGGTTACAAGTGTGTCCCGCTCTGTTGTTTGCTGTCTGTGTTGTCTTACATTTACGTTTTAATTCAGAGAAAGAGAATGCTTGTGACATAGGTTGCAGCACTCTCTAGGGGGAGAGGGTGTTAGAATCAGTTGCTCCCTGTTTTTGGAGCGTTAAAAGCACTGGCGTGCTGAAAGATACAACAGGCTTTATCAACGGCATCGCGGAACACCCCCGTAACCTTGTGCCGATGTGACAGGTTCAGGAACTAAAATCAGAAGTGACCTAGTGTGTATATGATGGGGGGGGGGGGGCGTGGGGAGATTAACGTTACGTGTATCGCACATTGTATAAACACCGAACGAAGTAATGCTATTACGCCTTTAGAATATAGGTCCTTTTCGGGAACTCTTGGAAATCCTTAGGAAATCTCAGGGTGCTCGAGATGGGGTGAAATTAAAAAAAGAACCGATCAGATAAAGGATACATTTCATTTTTCAAAGTACTAAGGCAGTCTGCGCTTTAGGCAGGCAAGATCTCAGAGTCTGGGATTTAAGGTTTGCATAACTAGAGTAGCACCGGAAAGGAAAACCCATAACCCTACAGAGGTTGCGAAGCTTGGTCTCTGCCAAGAGCCCAGCGTATTCCACATTTTGTCAGCTTTGCTCTGGAATGCTGTGTCTACCAAGCCTCGTATATGTACCATGATATTCTTTTTAAGTAAGTTATTAATATCCTACCCCAGCTGGCGTCACAGGACAGTCCAACATTTTATAGGTTGGTAAGACTGGGTTTCCCCGCTTTCTAATGCTTTTAATGACCCCAAAATATCTAGAACTGGCCCTAACTCTAGTGCAGAGAGTGCAGCCTTGGTCCCACGAAGGTACAATATTTTTTGCCTCCCCCAAACACGAAATTCCCGTGGGAATTCCACAGCTGACTTGACAGTCCATTATTTCAAGGGGTGCAAGTGTGCTGCTGTCTGCTGC